CTGAGGAAGGAATGGGAACCATTTCCTCAGGCACGGAGCAAGGCGGATGAAGTAAATGCAAAACCAAGGAAAACCTTGCCTTCTGGAAGAATACGCAGAGATGGGGGTTTATTTTGCAACTTGTTGTATCTTTATTTAATTTCAAAGGCTCCATCACCGATTATCTTTTTGGGACTTGGTAAGCTAGCTGAAAAAATAAGCATTTTAGTTTTGAACTACAGGAATAAACTCACATCACATGAAATCTCTTACTCACAAGAGATTTTTTTCCCCTCACCTTATTTCCCAAGAAATCTTGAAGATGGTTACCAATAAACAACAGGCAGTAACTGCCTAAACAGACTGTTATCTACTCTTCTTTTCATCAGTTGGTGAAAAATCTGCACAAACTACATATGACAGTGCCAGCAGAAGAAAACACAACTTGTTCATTGAGACAGATGCATACTGCTAAATATAAATTTTACAGAACTGTTGGCTTCTAAGTTCATAGCACTCATTTCCACTGCTTCTCAGTGGCTCTTTCTCATCCCCCATGTCACTGTCTTTCATCTGTCCAAAATAGGCAGGAGAAGCTTTGTACTCATAGTGCCTGTCGAGAGACTTCAGGTGGAGCAACATGTGAAGAGCGTAGGCGAGAACCAGGAGCAGAATGAGGGACATCACCAACCCCATCAGGACTGCTGGAGAGAAAAAGGACGCGCAGTCTTTCGCATAGGCAAAATGTCCTTCCTGAATGTTAAAGCCTTGAATCTACAAGGAGAATAGAAGAGCTCGTATTAAATAAAGTATTTGTTGTCCTGGTTACAAACTACTTCATGAAGTTGCTCCTGATGCCAGGAAGAATTTTTAATTTAATATCTACTTATTGTAAAATTTTATCTACCAGTGCTAGCCAGAGTTAATGCTTTGTGTTTATCCAGGCCAGTCTTCTAGAAAGGGGCAGTTGTTCTAATCTCCTTCACTCTGCTGCCCAAAGGATATGCAGTTGTGCTTTAAACAAAATGTTCTGTGGCCACCAGTGATAGCTCAGTCACATCTAATTGTCAGCATGGTACCCTTCAAGGTAGCGGTGCATTTCCAGTGTCATTTGTTGTGGATCTCCAGAGTCTCTGTTTCAAACTGCATAAACCTCAACACAGCAAACAAGAAAATATTCTCAACTGGCTACCTAACATTAGATTTTTTCTCACCATATCCAGCTGTGCAGTATATGGCTGCAAACAAACTAAACTACATGCAGTTGCATCCGGCTGTGGCAAATAGCAGCAAGTTTTGCCTGTGCCTTCAGTTCTGACATGAAGCTTATCATATTGGCATTCAGGGAATTGACTGCCTGCTTCACTAGGTCAGTCCATGAGCTTTCATCCCATGATGAAAAACGGGGGATCAACTTCCCCCCTACACCCTTTTTCACCTCTCCATCCTCTATGAATTAGGTATCTAAAGGAAAGATATCCTAGTTCAGTCCTCTTAGGCTTCCTTATTGTCAAAGGCAGAAAAATAGGTACTTTCAGAAGATGGTTAATCTCATCCTAAAATAAGGACTTGAGATGAGTCAGAGGAATTATCCACTGGCTTTAGAGGCAGACTGGGGTGACTATAATTAGGGCACCAGGTTAAAATTACTAGGCATCAAAAGTTAAAGGAGATGAATCCTATACTTGGTGACTGATGCCATTATTGATGCCAGGTTTGAGAGCCCAGCTCTGAGAGACATAACTGGAAGTTAAATTCAGCCCCCAAGCTAAACAGAAACTCAAACAAGACTACAGAAAATCCATATAGCCCTTCACTTCCTTTGACAGGAAGATAAGTGTAATACTTTAAGTCTTCATTTCTATTCAATTTCTGTTTCAAATCCCATAGAGACCCTGTAAACTGCACACGGAAGATCACCATCCTTTCTTGGCAGTGAAGTGCAAAGTTTCCCATCAGTCTGCTCATGGGATCTTTTTGGTTCAATTCCATGCCATTACCTGGAAATCAATGAAAGTGACTTCCCAAAGCTTTGACAGATCGTTCGCAGAGCTGGGAATGAGGAGTGCATTGTATCTCTGCAAGCTGCTCACGTGTTCACAGTGGTAGGAGTAACTGGATGGTGCATAGATCCTGGTTGCATTAAACGTGGCTTGTATGGAGTGGTTGTAAAGCAGCTGGAGTCTGTGTAAACTGAACCAGTTCTGAACAGACAGCTGGTAATAGTTGGTTGTTAATAAGAATCTGAAAATATTGTAGGAGAGGAAAGATGAGAATGAAAACAAGTGTAACCAAGAGTTGTAACTATTAAATTCTCATGTTGAATGATCTTAGAAGACAGACTGGTACTACCAGAGTTTCACCTATGTGAGCTCCAGCTCCTTCTGTTGAGTCTGGAAAGTGATTTGAGTTTCTTCATTGTTGTAGCTGAAGGATTTGCTGCTCTCCCACACAGTGAGAGGAAATGTGAGGGATTTTTCCCAAATGACTGAGGAAGATCTATATGACACATTGGTACTGTACATCCATCCAAGATACAGAAAATTATTGATCAAGAAATGCTGCTTTCTTTGATTGCCAAGAAGTAAATATAAAGTAGGTCACAGTTTGATGCCTGAGCAGCCTGTACTATCAGTTCTTGAGGCAAAATTTCCAGACAAAAATGTAGCTAATTAGCAAGGTTTTGCAAAAATCTCAGCCATAGGAAGATGACATGACATGACCCAAACTTTTCTTGTGAAAAGAGAAGCCAACATAGGAGAAAAAATGCCTTAAAAAACAAGGAAGACCTTGTTTTTAAAGTGACAGACCTATCAAATGCACGTGTCTTAGTTATACAAGCAATAGTTTTACCATATTATTTTTGCTTACATAAATTCCCCCCTAACTGAACACACAACTGCATCACAGTGGATAACAACATGTAATATTTTGTCATCTTTACCTTTTTTTAAACATCTAATATTTCCTCTATTGTATAAACTTACCTAATAACAAGTCCTTTTAGATTGCCAATGTCACCAAACTTCAGAGAAAGCCTAAGTCAGAAAGCAAGTAACATCAGGCTAGACAAAATATTCAGAAATCTTAAGAGAAAAAAGCAGCACAAAAGATCAAGCACGGTGACACATGGAGCCTTTTGCTCGCTATATGTTTGAAGTCAGTAGAAAAATACAAACCTGAAAGGATTAAATCTTCCTCCAGTGAAACCCAGTAGTTCAGCTGTTAAGTAGAAGGAGGCCTGGAATACCCCCAAAGAGCAGAACAGCATGCTCAACTTTCAGCACGCTTCAGTCACACTGCTTCCAACACCAGCTGACAATTGGATTGTTTTGATCTGTGCTCCCCTTCCACCTCAGTCATGACTCACTTCTGTGTGTCATTACAAAGTGCAAACGGCCACATTATTCTCATCTTTTGAGATACTAAAGCATAACAAATGTACATGGCATCTGAGTTCCAGTTTCACACGTGGTCATGGTTAGAGCAATACAAACACACTGACTGTGAGGTAGCTCTGCACACCTTTCCTGTGGTGAGCTTGGGCACCCAGAGTTTACTGAAGTGAAAGCTCCTAGCAGGTTAACTGTAAACTAATGCACACTTTCCCACCCTTCTGTCATCCCTGCAGCTGATCCATTGTAGCACTGCATGACTGAGTGGCACGGATTTTTTTTGACTTCACAGTATTTTGCCTCTTAAAACCTTCATAATAGATTCTCAGTGTTGACATAACATTTTCAGACTAAGTTAGAGAAAAAAAGCATAATGAAGCCATGCAGCACCTGAAAGACTTCCAAACTTAAAGCTGAAGAAAATTTTAAAACAGTAAAACCAGCTAGCCCTATGATTTCATACCAGATCTAGACTTCTTCCACCTTGACTAACACTGATCCAATGAGCCAGTACACGGAATCTAGACTATCCCTTGCTTTACTACAGAGGGAAATCAGACAGTTGAGGATTAGACACAGTTAAACACAGCATTCAACTCAGAGGCCTGATCCAGAAATTGGTGCATAAAAAAACCCAACCTGCGAATTGGAATATTATGTTTGCCTAACAGATGTAGATGTGTTTGGTGTCAAATACTTTTTCCCTGCTCCAGCTACTTCACATTGACTAGTATCAGTATAGCCTGCTGGAAAGCTGGCCTAAACCCCAACACAGAATCTCCTTAACAAAAAAGGCTGGAAAAGGGAGAAGTTTAAGGGAGTTTTAAAGAACATAAGGAAAAACATGTGGAAAAACTTCTTTATTCTGAGGGTGACAGAGCCCCGGACTAGGCTGCCCAGTGAGGTTGTGGAGTCTTTGTCTCTGGTGAGATTCAAAACCCTCCTGGGCATGATCCTGTGCAACCTCCTCTGGGTGAACCTGCTTTTAGCAGGGGGTTGGATGAGGTGAGCCCCAGAGGTGATTCTGTGTGACTTCTCTGGAGTGAGTAAACTGGACAATGCATCCTGGGAGCACCCAGCCATCAACTGGCACAGTTTAGGTCAGTCCTTAAACCTCAGATTACACACAAACACTCAAGTCACTTTTTCCCTTTCTTCTCTGCTACAGTCAAATACAGGCTGACTGACAATCTAACCCCAGACTTGTATTTGGCAGTTACTCTGAGCCACACCCTGGCTCATGAGCCCAGAAGGCCCACCCTCCTGTCCACAGAGCAGGACTTTCACATCCAGGGGCCTCCATCAGGGCTTAAGATGCCCGTAGTGGTAATGAGGGAATGGACACTTGAAACACAGTTTCTAGTGACTTGATACTTGGAATCTAGCAGAGATACCACAGATTTGTTCATGCCATCTCTCAAATGTTCTGACACATGCCTCCTAGCACGAGCTCAGAATAAGCCAGGATTTTCTTGGTTAGGATTCTGCAGCACTATCAAAGGGCAAGAGCCAAGGGTACTACTATTTCTCAGTGCATCCCAAATAAGCAAAGAACACAACATATAAGAAAGCATGACCATTGGGAAGGAGTAGCATTTTCCCCTCTCTCCACAGAGAAGAAACAGCTTAGTAGTCACAGTATAACTCCTGACTCCATCAAAAAATGCCAGCCTCAGCTTCAATCTAAGCATCAAGGTCCAGCCAGCCTCAGGAGCTGTGTCGCCAGGTCAAGGCTACTCAAAAAACTATGTGGGAACCAGAAAGATCAGAAAACATGGCAGCTAAGATGGCTCTGAACTCACAGATTTTGAGATCAACCTCAGATAAGGTGAAAAATTGATAAAAAGGCATGTCAAGGGTATGCTGTAGAGTATTTCTGCTTCCTGACACTTCTTGCACCTTTTTTAATGAGTAACATGTTCTATAAATTCCCAAACATCTTCCAACATAGTTCATCAAGGAGAATATAGAGCCCCGTGGTGGGCTGACCCCGGCCAGCAGCTGAGACCCAGGCAGCTTCTCACTCGCTCTGCCCTCTCCACCCCACAGCAGGACAGCAGAGACAACAGGAAGAGCAAAAGAGAGAGAACTCATGGGTGAAGACCGAGTTTAATAAGTGAAAGGGAGGAAAAAAAACAAGTAAAGTTTTGCAAGGGCAATCACTGTCTACCTCCCATGGACAGAACAACGCTCAGCAAATCTCTAAGCAAGAGCCACCCTGGAAGACAGAACCCCTACCCACTTCTCCTTCCTCTGCCCCAGTGTTCATTGATGAGCATGACATTACGTGGCAGGGAATACAGCTTTGGCCAGCTCAGGTCAGCTGTCCAGGCAGTGTCCCCTTCCAGCCCCATGCCTTCTCAACCTGCTCGCTGCAGGGGCAGAGTGACAAACACTGTTTCTGTGGAACATGTACAGGTGAAATGGCAGAGTAGAATGCCACCTTACATTGCATTGTCTTCACTGCAGTTTGAATCTCCAACATCCACTGTTGCATGGACACCAAACGTCTTCTCTGTCAAATCCAGCTGTGTGTGGTTTTCAAACTTAATCATGATCCTCTTGGCCCGGAAGAGAATGCAGGGGATGCCATTGACTGTGACGTTGAGAGGACTGTAGTGGCTGTGTGTGAACGGCCTCCAGGCTCCTTCCCACTGTCCTCTCCTGCTCAAGTTGTAGCCAGCAACCTGATTGACCACACGAAAGATCGGCATGAGACAATGTGTATTTCAGGAGCTACTCTTCCTCCTACCAGAATAAATGAGGCCAGCCCCTGGAGAGCACCTGCAGAGCCAGCTCTCAGCCACAGCACCAGAGAAGTCAGGAAGCAGAGAAAACTCTGGCTAATCTGTTTCCCCCATGGGAATGGCAGCAGACAATCCTCTAGCTCCAGCACCACTGGCCAGAGAGCCAGCCTAAGTAGCACTTATTGTACCAGGGTGCATGTTCCCATCTCACCCCAGCACTCTGTAGAGCTGCCCAACACAAAAAGTTAATGCAAAGCTAGAAAGACAAGGTGCTTACCCCAGCAAAAGTCTCTCTGGGACACCTGTAAGAATTAGCTGAGCACACTAAAGAGTACTCAGCTCAGGCCAAGGACACAGCCTACCTCGCTGGAAGTACATGGAAGACATAGAAGCTACAGTCCTCAGGTTTTAATATTGCAAGCTTCCATGTCATCTGTAGACATTAGAAAAATGCCATCCTTTCTAGAGCCAAATTTCATAGCAAAAGCAGGGCAATTTGGCTGTCAGGTATCACAATTTGAGAGAGTGAATTAGGGCTCAGAACGGAGTTAACCAACTTCACAATTTAACTGTCATTTCCACATTCCAAACTAAAATTTCCAGACACCAGCTCTTTTCCATCTGCACGTGTCCTATCTAAACAGGATTCTGCATGCCTGTCCTGCATGTCACATGATAAAGCAAGTTCAAGTTGTGCAGAAACAAGAGAGGTCTTCTCAGCCCCAGTCATAAACAGCATCTTACCAGCCTCCAGAAGGGATGCAGTTAAGCCCCAAAGCTTTGTGTTGGCTTAAAGAGATTTTTTTTCTGTTCAGATTAGCGAATCACGTCTCTCAGCTCAGACCCTGGAAGACCCCTTTTGATACTTGACCTTACATGTGGCACAGGACTGCTCTGGGATTAAAATTAGCAAGTAGTCACAGCAACAAACTGAAAGCAAGGTAAGATCATGGTCAGAAAATGTCATGCAACAGCCAGCAAGAACCCTTGGCTACCACTGCCATCTGTATTAATTATAAGGCTGTCTTCTCAGAAGTACAGATGACAGAGATTTAATCAACAGATTATTTACCCTTTTGGTAAGGAAACCTTTTATTTCAGTTTTTTTGCAAGACCTAAAGTCTGGATTCAAGAAAAACTCTCACTAAATTTAAACAATCTGCAGTTTTGCTTCAGTTACTCTTTCAATACCCAGTGATACAAGCAAAACGCTGGCTGCAGAAATCCTATGGCACTGAACAGGATATGGGTGACAGGATTTGGTGCTTTCAGCGTGACCTTGTCCCCAAACCCACTGCCAGTCCACACCAGCAACAGCAGCTGAAGCCTCAGCTCACTCCTTAGAAAGCAGGAGATACCTTGTACAGCAGGCAGTGAATCAGTACCACATCACAATGATCTACAGAGTTTTGCTGGCTTTACACTTCTTGTGAACAGTGTATTTAATTCAAAAATGCAAATTAAAAGATCTCAATGTATTATGAGAATACTTTACAGATCCAGTCCTTCAAGCATTACCTGTGGAATTCCTACTTGATTTACATTAAATTTGGGCTTCACACCACCATCATAGCGTCGACCTGCAGAAGAAAGTGTGTTACTAGCCTACAAAGAAAACTCCCCATCATTTTTAAAAGCACAACATTGCACGTTCTTATGCAAACAATAATTACCCCTGTATGAAACCTGCATTTCAGAGTACCTGGTTTTATTTTGGAAAATATTTAGTTTTGTGCAAATATTGCCTCTATGCATTTTCTAGTTTACCTTAGTTATACAACAGAGTTCCTTCTTTTCATTTTACATCTATTTTACAGCTGATATTTTACAGCTACACTAAGAATGCCAGTATCAGGCATTTAGCCCACTGAAATAAAAAAAAATAATAAAAAAAAAGCCTTACCACTTCTTTGCAGAAAATCTTGATCTGGAAATGCATGTGAACTAGAAGAGAGGAGGAAAATATTTACTGTACGGCACCTGTTTAAACCATTTAAAGTCTGCTGCACCTTTACTGAGGACAGCTCCTGTCCCTGATTCATTCAAGGTAACATTCAAAGAGTAACTCAGATCTTTGGATGGTGAATGTCACAGGAACATGGCAAACTAATTCCAAAGCCAGCATACCCAGGATAAAAATGCCTCATGTTCAGAGATCCCCCAGGTGGATCAGCCCTTCCAAGCATTCCCATATCCTCCCCATATCCTCCCCATATTGACTAAAGGCTTCCTTACCCCTCTAGTCCCTTCCCATGGGACCTCAGTTTTGGGTTAGAGACTGAACCAGTTCCAGCCCACAAGCAGGGAACACACAGATATCACTGCACCATCCTTAGTCCCCAGTGAGGTTCAGAAGCAACATACTGAATTCCTCCAGCACACAGCAAATACACTGGGCTAACATGCCTTAAGCCCAGACTTACAGCCATATAAAGAGAGCTCCTGAAAGGTTCCAAGCAATCCCAAATCTCACAGAAGTCAGCTGCAAGGCACAAAGGAAGCACATCTCAGGTGACAACTACCAAGCTCATGAAATCTTCAGCCTTTGATTTTCTTCTCTGGTATAATTCAGCGATGAATTATCTGCTTTCCTGAACTAGAGAATCAATCCCAGTAGATTCATGTGCACCACCAAAAGACCTATAAGATCGAAGTCCAAGAAACGAGCTCTCCCGAAGGACCAGGCTCCACTCCTTGAATCACAGGAACCCTCGGCACCACGGCGCCTTCCCTGGAGCCTGCAGCCCCTGCAGGGGACGCCCTGACCCGATGGCACACGCCCCCTTCCCAGGCCCGCTGCCAGCGCTCCCCAGCAGGTGGACACACCAGCGCTCCCGCAGCGGGGTATGCACACACACACACACCTTTTTCCTGCCTTGATTCCTATCTCCTTTCGAACCCACCACAGAAGTAAAATGCTTGAAAAGATACACGCTAAGACCAGCACGTACGGACCAGGAATCAAAGCAGCTTTCAGTATTTATGTGTAAATTGCACCATAAGGCTCCTGAATAGCCAGTTCAGTCCCTGGCCTCGCTGGGGAGCCCCTGGACAGCTGGGTGAACCCACTCCCAATGGACTGGCTGGGCAGGGATCTGTGTGACCCACTGGCACGTACTGCAGCTGTGATCCTGACCTAATTTCCATTGCAGCATCCTTCATGGCAAAGAAAAGGGTCCAAACAACACCATGTCACCAAAGGACAAACGTGGGATGGCTGAGAGCCTGCCCTGCTTGCTGCCAGGCCCGCGTGGCTCCAGCAGTCAGGGAGTCTGACCACACTGGACCCGGCCTGCCCAAACCCCTGGTGATGGGAACAGCTTCAGCAGAGCCCACGCTTCACATCCAAGCTCTTGTTTACACCCAAGGTTCAGGAGGGCAGCAGGCTCTTCTGCTGAGCAGTGTCTCTCCAGTGAGAATGTCCTTCCACAGGCATACTGTCTGCTGCTGCAAGCAGGTCTCCCGTGCCCCCCTGCAAACACCCCAAACCCAGAAGGCAAAGTGAGTCTGTATTCCAGTCTGTTGCTCTGCCACCAAACACCAGGTCTGATGAGCACCTTTGCTCCAGACCTTCGGGCAGGTGGCTCAGTCCCTCCAGCAACCAGGGCAAGAGAGCCAAAGATGGTCTCCAGAGAAAATGTAACACAGCACAAAGAGACAGCACCACAGCAGGGACTGTGACCAGAGCTCAGAGAACCTGGACAGGACCTTATGTTCAGAGAAGTCCAGCGTAGGTAACACTGTTTAAAATCAGTCTGGCAGTTTTATTCACATATATTGGGACCAACTTTCTGCTCAGTTGCAGCTGCTAAAGCCAAGCCTCCTCAAGGAGGCTGTGCACTTTCAGAGTGGGTCCCACTTCCTCCCACTGCCCATTGCGTCCCAGGGTTAGTCCTGGGCTGAGGTCCCCAAATCACTCAAAGCTCTTGAGCCCACAGCAAGCAGTCTTCAGAGATGGGTGGAAATAATCCTCATTCTGACAGACAGATAGCAAACATCAGAGCTAAAATGGACCAGACCTTGTTTTCTTTTCCAGGCAAAACTGTTTCTTAGATTGTTCAATGATTAGGAAGACAGGTTTTGTGATGTGATGCAGCCTTATTTTTCTTTTCTAGACATCCTTCACGATGGATTGTGCCTACAGGCTGGAAAAGGCTACTTGGTGGCATTTTTTTCATTGGAATAGCTAAAAAAAATGAGGTACAACCAACGGACATGGTTTAAAATTATTTATTTTTTCTAACTTCAGTTATATTTAGTTGTACCTATGTTTATTTAGTTATGCTTAGTTATACTTTTAGTTCCTCTCTGTATACATAACTAAAGGATCCAGTTTGGAAATCACTGTGCTGTAGTGTGCAGACTAAAGCACTGTGATGAGAGGAGACTGGTGTAAAGTTGTGTCATTCACTTCATTCCCTCACTGGACTTGAAAGGTCCACTTAGCTTCCCACCTGGGTTAAAGCTACAACAATGGCCACACCAACTGAATCACCTTGTGGAACGCTAACGGACAGAAACACCACGCCTTGAGGGAAGCACACAGCGACGACAGGAGGCGTGGCTCATTGTGAGCAGCCCTGGGGGGTCGTGCTGTGAGCAGAACGGTTCCAAAGCTCCTGCACACATCCCCCGGGGGCAGGCTGGCACCTCGGGACAAGGCGGCTGGGCTGCTCCACGTTACACATGACACCTCAGCAGCACCGCCATGCAGCGGCGGGGGGAACACCGGTGCCACTCCCGGCACGAAGACACTCAAATATAGATGAAGGTGCAGGGCTGATGAAATATTCATGCTTTCATGAGGAACGCAGAGGAGAGGGTGACCCAGGAACGACCGCTAAGCAGCACGCTGTGACAGAGGGTCGGCCACGTGGCAGGCACACCTGGGAGGCAGCCGGGGGCGCACCAGTGAAGTTACTCTGTTAGCAGAGCTGGCTGCCTGCCTCCCTCCTGCACAGTGCAGGCAGCCTCGTCACGGAAAGGCGAGGGAGTTCCACCACGGCAAGGCTTGCACGCTGTGCTTGGCCCTGCTGCAGCCAGATCCCCCTGGCACGGGCAGTGGCATAAGGCAAGGGTCACCTCCTGGCTTCTGAGCAAGCACCAGTCGATGCTGATGTTACTGGGTCTGGAAGCTGCCTTTGACACTGAGAACCCCGAGGTGTCACAGAAGCATGTGGCCTTCAACAGCCATCCTGCTGTCACATCAGCAGCCTTTCCACACAAAAGGCATGCTGAGAAACTCACAGGCAACCTCTGGCAGCAAGACCCTTGTACCCTCAGCCGGAGCATGTTTTATAGAAGAAAAACACTGAAAGAAAAGATGGGAAAGTAACTACACACTAAAAGTATGTATTCCCTTCAGTATGTGTGTGAACACGTTAATTACATGTATGAAGCAGAAACTGGCTAGCCCTAGAGCCGCCTTCTCCACTCCCTGAAAATCTACCAGCAAACAGTGGCTAGACCTGAAAACCAGCAAATCATTTTTAGTGCACTAAATTAGAGACTAGACTTTTTAATTTATGGGGTTTTTTTTCAGCCACTCTACCCTAAAACTTCGAATTCAGTTACACATATGTTATATGTTTTGATTATTAACATTTTTCCTTAACAATTAGCCCAGATACACACTGGCATGCATGCTGTATGTCGAATTTACCATTCCAAGTATGTCAGGAGCCCACATGAAAATTGGATTAGCCCTAATACAAAGCACTGGGATGACTAATCACTATGTAAAACCCAATTAAATAAGATTATAAGTATAAAGAAGTGTAAATTCCTCCTTATCAGATGACATTATCCATCTACATAAGATAACCAAGTCTGGCTTGTTTGCCTGAAAAAGTTGCCATAGACTCCAGTCCTGGAGGACTTCCACAGGAGCCACACAAACCAGCCTGGCACTGAGCAGTGACTGGGGCCAGAGGCAGGTTCCACACCATCAGGTTAAAGGAAGCTGAATCCACACTGTCATTTACTCATCATATTGCTGCTCTGACACACTGCCTCAGATGCCAAAACGTGCCCCACTGCTAGTTCCTTCAAGAAACACCCTAACAAAAGATGTCGTTAAGTGTTAAAGGTATCTATTTAAGTTCTGTCATTAAGAAATAGCTACAAAGCCCACGACTCTGGTAGTCTTTAAGTATTCTGTGTCATATTTTGCTATCCTCGTGTGCGATCTGACACAGGGAGACAGATGAACACAATTATTTCACAGTGTACTGAGTACTGGGGTTTGATCTGCACTTTAACGGATGTCCAGTAAGAACTGGATCAGAAAGGCAAGATGCTCAAGCTTTCATTTTTAATACACAAAAAGAAACTGAGCTGGTAGAACTTCTGGCAGATAGCACCGTGTGGGCACAATCCCACCTCCACGGGATGCAAAGGCAAAATCCCCACCCAGCTCACTGGCATCGGGACCACAGCTTCATTTCCCCATGCTCACAAGGTTCATGTCACGCCCCACCGCCTGCTCCTGCTCAGATTTTGACCCGATGGCAGAAAAGTGCAATTATCCTAAGAAGACACTAACAAATCTGCAAACTGGCAGAGAACAGCAAATAAGCTA